TGCTCTGCTTTGAGATTACTTCAAGACTCACTGGATGTGAAAGACAACCGAATAGGAACCTGCTGGGATTCTTCGCCTGTTGCCACCGACCTATCCATTATAAACACATATTATCCTCGCCATTTTAGCGCAAAGTGAACAAATGTTGAAGGGGAAATGTCCTAAGTCAGACAGCAGTTTTCCACTAATGTAAAGCATTTTTCGTGAAAATAATCTTATCCGCAAAGAAAAAATTCCTTGAAAGGTGCTATTAACTCACATAATCCAATACTTTTATTAACACGTCGAAGAACTATTCTGACATGTTTTTTTTCGTTTTCATCGTTTTCACTCGTTAATTTGTTCAGAACTAACCTTATGTTCTTAAAAGCCGGCTTTCATTAAACTTCGGTAATAACAACCAATAATTTTTTACACGACTGAGATGATATGAGGTTGGTATAAAGCTTTTATTCCGCTAACGTTTCGACGCCTTCGCCTTCCTCTTCATCCTGTTTTCAACCCTCAACCACAAATACAAATATTTCATTTCGTTGTAAACTGCATTAGTTGGGCAAGGAGTACTGTAATTGGTTTTTTGAAACCAAAAACAGTAATTTTTTTCGAATTATGGTGAAAATCTCATTTTTTGAAGTTTATAAATCTTATCGTTATATGGATGCGGCATGCACCAGCCGTTTTTGCTGCTTCCTCAATTTCTAGCACACTGATAGTGATACCGATCACCACTAGCACGGTGGTGGTTCGATCCCTGTGCAAAGTCACCAAACCTCTCATCCCTCCGCAGTCGGGAAATTGGTGCCATCCTCGTCCGCGAAAAAAACCTCCTCTGCTATCCAATTGGGAACGCTCCAATCCGCCTTTCTCAGAACTCCTCTGAGAATTGACTCGATAAGCATTCTATGATGTTTAAAATGAAATGAAAATCCTCAAGCACCACCCGAAGCCACATGTAAAAAGTTGGAAGACCTTCGCTGATAATGGATGCGAGGAAACGAATCAAATGTGGGAAGTGCTGGAATCCGCACACAAGATGTGAAGACGGCTCGTACAGGAAAAGTCAAAAATATACGTATAAATATCACGAAAGCGACATTTTTTGGCTTCTTTATGCCAACTGTAACCTAACAGAATGGAACGTGAACAAGAGAACCAAAGAAAAATTCTAGACAATGGTTGTTCCTACATCCTTCTTCTCCATTACAGTTTCTAGGCTTACGGTTTTTTCTTGCAGCCTGGTTCTATCTGTCGATCATCATCATCGTCTCCATCGGCACATTTCTCACCAGTGTCGTTCTGTCTGTACAATGTATGGTAGTCATCGTTTTTTTAACCAAATATTTCAATTAAATCTTTGCTTCGTTGTATTTTTTCATTGAGTGAGTTTGACAGCTGTTGTCGTCCTCCCAGCGGTTCGCCGCCTCATCGTGGCTGAGAGCTGTTCCTGGGTGTCGAGCTGCAATGTACAGCGGGGAATTCATCACCCAACAAAGTCTCTCAAGCTGAAAAACAGTCTGGACTTTCCACCTGGAAGCCCACCTAAGAGCAAACCAATACCATGATCCACCAGCGTTCTGGTATCAAGTTAGTCGCTCAGTGGCAAATCTCCCTCTAATCCACAGAGGTGGCGACTGCCTGTGGTGGTGACTTTGGTCAGGTTTGGAGCCTACAGAACCACTGAAGACGGGTTATCCAAGTATCCAAGTATCGTGCAGCAGATGTGAAATATCCAATAAGTTAATTAGAGAAAAAATCGATATTTGATGGGCACTGTAGACGTTCTCACCTATACACATGAGTTCCACATTTGTTACACTGTTGCAATAAGATTTTTTTTGTGCCAATGTTCCCAGTTTTGCGTCGATTTCAGAAATCTATAGAAAAAAGTAGAAACTGCTGTGCAGTATTGGTTTTGTGATGTTTGTTTTCTGGGCGTCTAGTTTCCTGAAATGTTGCTGTTCAGGTCGAAGGCAATACCGGCGAATTCCTCCACTTTATATTCGGTATTACTTTTTTGCTGTTATTCCGCCGCTAATCTACCTAAGCGTTCCACAAGCGCTCGAGAGTTTATGGTCTGAACTCGATGTGAGTTATATACTTGACAAATATTTCCACTTGCGAAGAGGATGCTAAAGGGTAGGCCGTCCGCTGTTGATGTATTTATTTGATATCTGTCTTCCTCAACCATCGTTGCGGTTATTCAATACATAGTTGGCCTTTACAATGATGGCTTGTCTATCAAGGTAGCAAGCCAGTATTTTTATCCTCCCAAACAGGTTTGGTAACAATTTACCGACTTCAGAGAGACGGAATGGCTTGGTTAGCCCGAGACGTGCGGTCGAACCAGGGACAGTATGTATCGTACAGCAAATCTAACCATCGCACTACAGGCGCTTCTACCCATTTGAGTAGGCAGAAAACCGCTTAACGAATGTTTCGAGAGCTAGAGATACTATAGTCTCCAATCACTTTTGAATAATTTGGGTTCGGTACGCGCGAAGGTATTCCATGCTTGAGTGCTCGTATTCCAGCAAATGTTGAACTATTCATGGAGTAAAGGCAAATAAATAGATAAAGCTCTCTGCGTTGGTCAATCTCTGAGGGATGTGCCATATATCGACTTCATTAAGCACCGTTGGAGGTTATTAAATGTATATCTGGCCTTTACAATGACTCGCGGTGGCTTACCAATATATCGAGCCAGTGCTGTTATCCTCTCAGACTGGTCCGATACCACTTTGCCCACTCTGGAGAGCGGAAGGCTTGGTGGGCCATGGGCGCGGGGATCGATCTCCTGTGTGTGTGTAGCAGGACGCATCTGACCACTGCACCACATGCGTTCTTGGAGTAGAACTGTTGAATGGATAGTATTCGAATTTATGAATGGTAATCGCGCAAACTCGGATATTCGGCTATTCTGTGTATTTTCTAAAGTAGCACATATTTTCTAAGATGTACCTGGAATGGTACTTGAAAACACGCAGAGGTTCCTGAGTCTTGAAACTGTTCCCTGGTTTTGCCGCTCTTAATAAATTGAAGACAAGTTGACGGTGGTTTGCGTGAAACTTAAGCTTTCGGTTTCATTTTGAAGTCATACAATTAGCTGACCAGAAAAGATGTATGTGATTACGAACTACTTATAAAATGGTGAAATGCACCCATAACTCAGCGGCGATAAGGAGAATGTTGTGGTAACATCAACCTTTTGTGGTCTTGTCGGGATTACAAAAGAGTGATCGATGCCGAGCTTAACGGAAATCCGATTGTGAGAACCATTCATTGTCTTCAGGATGATCCAATGAATACCTGGCGCCGAAAACGGAGGCCGTCACATCCATCAAGGACTGCCTGCTTGTTCAAGGAAAACCCGAATAAGTCGCCTTTACTGCAACGGTAAGTGGTAAGCCAAGCCTTGGCTTAACTGGGTCTCAACATTCAATCATTATTCAATAAAAGCTTTTGTTTGCAGTAGTAGCTAAAATTCCATTGAAACTTTTAAAACTTCTTCTACGAGCGCTATTTTATGGAATTCACCAAAGAATGTTTTTTGCTATCCTTTTATGGTGGTAAATTGGGTATACACACACGTATGTATATTTGAATGAACAAAAGTAGATGTTCCTGTACATGTGTGGAGTGTATCCCGCTCATCCATGAGATCAAAATCCTGGGAGCAAATAACGAGGGAAATCTGCTCTGGCACCTAGTCGTGAGTATACCCCAATTTTAGAGGCCGAACCCGACAAGATACTCATATTTAGCACCTTGCTGAAGGCAGTTGAGTTCTGAAAGGTTTCATACAGAAAGATCGATATTCTTTGTGTTCCTTGGGCAAATAAATGAAGCTTATTGAATTGCCGTGACGCACAGCAAGGACAACTAAAGTATTTACTGCTGCCTATTTAGTAACTAATTTATTAACAGAATAATAAGGAATCCAGTTCACTATCAGGACATGCTTCAGTTTTTGCAAACACATGTTGAACGTTTTTGAGTATCTGTGCCGAAAAAACGCATACATTTATCTTTTTAACCCTTTTGTTTGCTGCCTTTTTCTTTTTAATGGCAGGGCATGTTGCAAATATATATATATATAATATAATATACAAATATCTCAGCATTATATACGGGTTATATTTCGCAACATACCCTGCCATTAAAATGAAAAAGGCAGTAAACAAAAGGGTTAAGATTGTGATTATAACTAAGCCTCAGCTTAACTGGGTTCAATGCCGATTTGGGCTCCCCAGATCAACCCCGTTGACGGGTGATTGCTGATGGCAAAAGAACAATAGTACTAGCTGAGAGACAGGCAAAACGAAGGACCCGGATGGTGTGGTGGTGAAGTGCGCTACTCCCCAGTTAGGACAATGGTACGTTCGTTCCTCACCATATACACCTGCGGTCCGGTGTTTTGCAAATATCTCAGCATTATATACGATTTATTTTTTCGTTTATATTAATCGTCATCCTTGGTTCTTTGCTTTGTATTCGCGATCAATGAACGCCGTTGGCTGCTGTCACAGCGTGGTTTTCACGGGAATCCTAGAGCAGTTCGGGTAGCGCCTCCACTGGTAGTCAATGTGCTTTGTAGATCAGCGAGAGCTTTTACCAAACAACTCTAATACCCCTTTGCATACCCGAAATACTGGGACCTTCGTTGGCGGAAAAGTTGATTTTCAGCCAACAACGAACGAGGGTGTGTTGCACGCTATCTCCAGCTATTAATTTTGCCCCGAATATGTGTGCTAACGACAACTGAGTTGTGCTTGTCTTATTAAATAATATATGTAATTAAATAACTGCCTTTATTTATCGTTTTAAGATATGACAGCAACTGAAATGAAAGTAAAATTTGGATGACGCTGTTCTAAATGTACTGCTAAGTGTAGGTAAATGTTTTTCAAAACTGTTGGTGTTGCTTCGGCCGTGATGTCGGTTTCAGGCAGTCGACTGTGCTGAATCCCCAGGTGGGTTTCGGTCGGTCCAACTCGATCCAGATGATCGACGTGTCGTCGCCGTCGTCGCCAGCCATGTCGCAGCGCTCCGGCAGCCCGTCCACGGCGCAGTCGCATCCACACACGCTCTGGGAAGGCGCCATGAGTGCACTTACCGGTCAGTTCAGGCTTCGCCTTTTGTGGTTTGTTGGACTTGTGACGATTGTGCTGACCACATCTGAGAGTGGAAATGATTTTTTCTCCAGATTCTGTACTACTATTACCAGTCTACTTTTTTATTTTCTGCCTTCTATAATTTTAATGGCAGGGTATTAAGCCATCTATTACCAGTGTTGTTAATACTGATACATAGTGCACAACGCAACATAAACGTGCAACTTTTATATAATTCGTCAATTTCATTTTTGGTCCACATCTATTTTTGTGTGATATAGAATGCTAAAAGCTCATGGCATTGATCACTCCCTGGTGGATGGATGCTTCATGCACTCGACATCATTAGGTGTCGGTGAGGATGATTAAATAGATATCTGGCACACACCTACGTGGGCCACCGGTGTATTAAGTCGGTGCTGGTGTCCCAGGCAAAGCGTTGTATCAATTTGCTGACCCTGGAAGGTTTGGTGTGTCCGGTTGTGGGATTTAACTAAAAAAGCACATGTATATTTAGGGCAGGCACCTCTAATCACCGCACTATATGGAGATTTAGAACATGGGTAAAGTTGAACTCTGACATTTAGCTTTCGGTCACTTCAGGAACTCTCTCACTGCTCAAACCATAACAGAGCAACATTGCTTTGATATGGGATTGGTTGTGATTTGATATGTGATTGGTTGTAAGTAAAGGAGATTACTGTAAATCCATCTGACAAATCCGCAGTTTGGATCCATCTTGTTATCATAAAGTAATCTCGCATCTAGAAAACACAACTAAAAAATGAAGTCCTATTCTCTGACACTATTTTTATCTTCAGGTACCAACGTTTTGCTGAGAGCTACGTCGGCTGCTTGTTCGCGAGAAGTCGTAGAAATGCGTCGCAGGCGGCAGTGCTCCTTGGAGTGGGAGTTCTTGGCCGCGGTTCTCGATAGGTATGGATGCTAATCGGCTTCCCGTTCTGTGAAAATCTAAGCGTTTTATTTTGTTTTTTAGTTTTTTTTCGAAATTTTTTGCCTAGACGATTTGTGAGTTATATAGAAATTTCACTACCAAAATGTCACCATTCTATAACGGTATTAACATCGACCTCAACAAAGGGGTAAGGAAAGGCGATATCACCTCGCCAAAATTATTTACCACCGTCGTGCGAGCACTGGAATGAGACAACAGAGAAGCGGAAATCGATGGTCAGCAATTACACCGTCATCACTTTCCTGATGAAAACATTTTATAACACGAAGAATGAACCAGGCGGAACGAATACTTTCCGACTTTGGTAACGTCTGTGGAAAGAATGGCCTTCGCCTAAATTTCGCAAAGACGATGCTCATGAGCGGCGAATTGGTTTTGCATGTACCACTCACGCTCAACGGTACGAATATCTCCGAATCTGTTTCAGCTACCTTTATCTAAGTCGGGAAGTGATCATGATGAGCGACTCAGCTCCAGAGTTGAGAGGGAGGAAGTGATCAGCTTGGGAAACTTTCGAGAGCATCGAGAATGTGGCGGGAAAGACGAAAAACACTCGACTTTGTTTTAACTTATTATTCACTGCCTACTCTTTTTAACGGCAGGGTATACATTGTGAAATATAACTTCAATGATTCTGAAATATTTGCAAAACTCCGGACCGCAGGTGTATGTGGTGGGGAACGAACGCGCTATTGTCTTTTCCGGGGAGTAGCGCATTCACCACATCACGCGGTTCCTTGGTTTCGCCTGCCTCTCAGCTAGTTCTATCGATCAGTGCCATCAGCAATCACCCGTCAGCGGGATTCATCTAGGTATCTAAGCATCATTGAAGTTATATTTCACAATGTATACTCTGCCGTTAAAAAGAGTAGGCAGTAAATAGTAAGTTAAAATTGTGATTGTAACTGCGGCCTCGGCTTAACTGGGTTCATTGCCGATTTGGGCTCGCCAGATCAATCCCGCTCACGGATGATTGCTGATGGCAAAAGATCGATAGAATTAGCTGAGAGACAGGCGAAACGAAGGAACCGCGTGATGTGGTGAATGCGCTACTCCCCGGAAAAGACAATAACGCGTTCGTTCCCCACCGCATACACCTTCGGTCCGGAGTTTTGCAAAAAACTCGACTTCGTGCCCACCATTTCGAGACCACGATTCTTCCTGTCTAACGTATGCGTCGGAAACCTGGTAGCTGCGTAAACAGGATAAAAGACTACTCAGCGTTATTATACGTGCAGTCTAAAGGACGATGCTAGGAATTCATAGTCGGGGTTACTTTAAAATTTGTAAAATCTATCCTCTAAAGTGTGAAAACTTTTTGGTTTTCAGTGAAAAATTCTTGTTTTTTCTTTCTATCTCTCACCTTTATCGCTTGTCTTCCTGTTGTTTGTCGAGCAACTCGAATGGCTTTAAGCAGTCTCCACTTCCCTTTTTCTCAGCTCACCTCGCTTGGGGGAGCGAGCAGAAGGACTGGCTATTGCTTATATTCCTTATTACGTCCTCATCACTCTTGTAAGCTCCTCAAGCCGATCGTTTCCTTTGGCTCAGCTCTCGTGTTAATTTTCGCGACCTTGATTAGTGTAGCTGAACCACTCAGCGGTAATCTTCATGTTGGATGGTAATGAATTATTTCCATTTGTGAGTCCAGACGATTGACGTAAGCTGCGAACACGTCCGCTCGTCGTTTGTGTGGTCGCCCAAAGGACCCATGCATTCCCTTAGAGTCCTTTTATATTACTAGTCCAACTGTGCTTCGCCATCGATGTGCATTATTTTGAATCCCGAAGATGAGATAGGTACCGAAGATCTGATCTCCATATTTCGGCTACACACTGTTAGTGTTGGTTAAGTTCCAAAAGGCATCGTTCAAGCACTCCGTGGTTAATGCGCAGAGTTCTTAACGCGGTTGAGGTATCTGCCCACGTCTCTGCTACGTAATGGAGCGCTGGGTGGACTTTTCTAACACATGTAAGACTATGTGCGGGTGGTCTTCAATAATAACTGGAGAACTTAAGAACAATGAAACAGCATTGTATTGAGTAAATCTTCCTGTTAACAACCTCGCTTTTTGCCACTAAAGAAAGAGTGTTGAGGAGGCTATTGAATCGAAAAGGCGATCGTGGAGTTTTGGGTCCTTTAGTTGGTTGGGGACCTCTTTAAGAAAGTCGAACGCTGCAACTGCTGCTTTTCTTTTTCTGCCTAATTCGTTCTCTATGCTGTTCGCCATGTTTAACGAACGTTAAAGGTTCACGCACGAAGAAGTCTTTATAGTCAGACATTATCCACTTCGACTTGTTCATCTTTTTCATGAATTGGATCTTCTTCCGACTTATGCCTAATCTTATCTTTCTTCCCACCTCGCTAAGCTCCTTGGTCAGCGTTTCTGATTTACTGACAGGAATTTTCCATCATTGCATATGTTCTTCTAGTCCCATTCGTGTAACCACATTATTGCTGCTGCAAAAAGCTTTGGCGATATAGTGTCGTCTTGTGGAACCCCTTTTTCTGCGGCGATGGTAAGAGGTAGAAGAAAAAAACTTCATTTTTGCGCTTCAATTACGGTAAACCTCAGCGACAGTTCTTGTATAGGACGGCTCCAGTCCCTGGTCAACAAACGCTGATCAAATTGCATTCGTTTCGGCGCCGTCGAACGATTTTTCGTAGTCGGTAAAGGCCAGGAAGGGGGGGGGGGGGGAGAATGGTATTTTCGACCAACTTCTATGACCCATGACTTGGGTTTGGATGTGGTTCATGCAACAAAACCTCAGTTGAAGTCCTTCTTGCTCACTTGTTCTTCTAAAGTGCTTTATATGCGCATTACGACAATATCCGTAAACAGCTTGTGGGTTGCACTCAGCGCGGTAGTTTCGATGATTCTTTTGTTCACTCTCCTCTAGCACGATGGCCGTGCCTGACATCCTCCAATGGTCTAAGATTTTCTCCATCTGACAAGTAAGATGCCATGTTTAAAGGAGTACATTTGCTTTATGGCTTCCACAAGTCGGCTGTAATGTTATCTGGTTGTCAAGCTGTTCCTGTTTTCCTGATTTCTACCGTAATCCAAACTTCAGACGCTAAAATCTCAGACGGATTTTTCCAGCGCATTTCAGTGCCTGAGACAGGACTGTGGAGCGAAAAAAATCGTTTGAAACTTTTCTGTAATCAATTCTATGTCATGGCAAAATGTGGTTGTAGTATGGACTTCGTTCATCAAGACTAATAACAAAGCGTTGTAGTCGCACAAATCCCGACAGCACATTATACCAGATCGCTTTTGAGCTGATTCCATCAACTTTTTCTTTCTTCACCGGTATCCATGCCGTTAATAGAACGCTTAATATCTGCTATTTTATAGTTTTATGCTAGTCGATCCTCCCAACAGCTTGCCATCTCATTGTAGCTGGGAGGTGTTCCTGGGTGTCCGGCTGCGACGTACAGCTGGCGAATTTATCCCCTGCTAGAGTCTCCCAGGCTGAGGAGTCCGGCGTTTCCAGCAGGAAGCCCAGCTAAGAGTGAACCAATACCAGATCCACCACCGTCGTGGTACCACACTAGTCACGTGGGGTGGCAAATCTCCCTTGACAAGGGCGGCGACTGCCTGTGGTGGTGACGACCTAGAGCAGACTTTGGCCTGACTGTTTTCAAGACTCCAGGGAAGCATAAAGACTAAGTCAGCAAAACTCCGAAAAATAGAGAATATACTGGGACCCGCACAGCCAGTGAGGTCGGGTCGTTCAACTATCCACGCATTCTAGCTGATGCTCGTTATTATCTTGCCTTACATTTCCGACACATCGTTTCATATTTGGTTGAAAATTTATTTCAGTAAACATTACCAAAGAATTCTTTTCTGAACTTCTTGGTGCTACTCACTTCGTAGTAACCCTTTTCCAGACTTCTACTGCTCGTTTTCATAACGGTGGTGATGTTGATCACGATGGGTCTGGTGATGGTCGGTAAATTGGCGCAGCTCAGTTACGACAATCCGGACGAGTCGTTCTTATGACGCGGACGACCTTTCTCGATGTTGTCACACGAGTACGCTGCTGAGCAACGTCAGCAGTGTTCTGCATCGAACGACGCAGAAATCTTTGGCCATGCTACTAAATCGTTTACATTGAGGGGAGTGAAACATTATTGTCACGGTGTTTTTGCTCAAATCCATTGAACAGCAATATGTCCATAGTTTATAGTAACCCTCAAAAAATCTTTAGGTTTTCGTTTATGTTCTTCGTAGCCAGTGTGCTGATGCTTTCAAATGATGCATTTGTTTAACCTTCAAACACTTCCAATGTTTTTTGTGTTTTTACGAGATTCGTGTAAGATTTTCTGTCGATTCCGGCGCATCGATTCCTCTACATCTTTTCAGGCGCAGGAGATTTCTACTGGTATTTCAATTTTCGCTTCTTCTTTTCCTTTACTGTTTTCCTTCTTTTTCCGTCATTCTTTTTTTTCCTTAATGTTAAGGGATTAAAAATCACAGTTAAAAAATGACTCGCGTTGACGCGAAATATGTTGCTCAAATGAGAACATTTTAGAGTGGACTTTTTCTTTTGCAGTTTTCATGGTGTTGTTATGTGAACTTTTGAGAAGCCCGTTAAAGTTGTTTGATTTTCGAGTTTAAAGTGCGATCGATTAAAAATCGTCTAGACGAATATGTAGCAGATTTATACGCACTCCATGGAGGCTTTTGGATGACACTTCAGTGAAGGCATAGTCTCTTATTCTGATGCTCAGTGAAACTCTAAGCGCGCGCGCAAAACTCTCAAGGGTTTTTGTACAAATCCCATAAATCCAAAGGTAACCCTCAGGTAGGAATGGAAGGTGATCACGCGTGATCTTCATAATATCTCAGACTGAGAGGGGCGCGTTAACCATCCAGGCGAACTCTGTGTGAGTAATCTTCATGTTGAATATGCAATGAAAAACCCGTAGAAAACGTTGAGTGTGAAGAAGCTGTTTTGTTTACAGTACGACTAAAATTTAGACTTCATGTGTTTATGCTAAGGTTATGAAGGTTGGCTGGCTGCAGGCTGCAGTCATCCTGATCTTTTCAGGCTTTGAGGAAGACGAAATCCGCGGAATCTACCGACAGTCTTATCTATTTATTTTATTTTACATGACCCGTCTTCACGTCTACCGTGCGGATCCCAGCACTTCCGATATTCGATTCGTTTCCTCGCATCCATTGTCGACGAAGATCTTCCAACTTTTACGTGTGACTTCGGTTGCTGCTTGAGGATTTCCACTTCGTCTTGAATGTCGTAGAATGCTTGTCGAGTCGATTCTCACTGGAGCCCTGAGATAGCCGGGCTGAAGCGTTCCCAATTCGATTGCAGAGAGTGATTTTTTCCCGGATTTCTTCCTCACAACGGCTTACTGCCTCATCGTGGCTAGGAGGTGTTTCTGGGTGTTGGACTGCGATCTACAGCAGAAGATTCATCCCCTGGCAGGGTCTCCCAAGCTGAGAAGGAATCCGACTTCTTTTTTTTTTTCCGATGGAAATAATAGCTAAGAGGAAACCAATGCCAGGATCCACCACCGTTTTGCTATCAAAGTCGCATGGTGGCATATCGCCTTCTGATCCACAAGGGCTGGGACTGCCTGTGGTGGTGAAGACCTGGAGCAGATTTTGGCCAGGCTGACTTCAGGGCTCCAGGGATTCACAATGGCTTAGGCAGCAAATCTCCGAAAAATGGAGATTGTATTAAGGTCCCCACATCCATGAAAAAGAGCGGTTTAAGTGTTCAAGTAAGTAAGATTTTTCTCCGTTCAAGTCCGGTACCAATTTCCCGACCGCGGAGGGATGAGAGGCTTGGTTGTCCCGGAGTGGAATCGAATAGTATCATGCTCGTGATGGCGGACATCACTACCCATCACTGCTGATAGTAGAAAGTGTAATGACAATCTCGCGTTTTCAATGGTGCTGAGATATTTGCAAAACTCCGGGCTGCAGGTGTCTGCAGTGGGAAACGAACGCGTTATTGTCCTTTCCAGAGTAACTAGTTCACAACCACGCTATGCGGGTCCTTCGTTTCGTCTCTCTCAGCTAGTTCTATCGAACTCTGCCATCAGCAATCACCCGTCAACGGGTTTGAGATAAATGTACAAAAATGTGGGATTTAGATCGCTGAAAGACTCACATGACGTGGTGGGGAACGTGTTACTCCCCGGAAAGGGCAATTGCGCGTTCGTTCGCCAGCGCAGACACCTGCGGTCCGGAGTTTTGCAAATATCTCAGCATCATTGAAGTTATATTTCGCAGTATACCGTGCCATTAAAGAGAGTAGGCAGTAAATAATAAGTTAAAATCTCGTGTCTCTTCATCAAAAAAGCAGCGAACAGTAGATATTCTAAGTAATCGAAAACGTATTTTTACAGCAAAACGTAATCTAAGGTGGTTGTTTCTTCTAAAACCTTTTCAGAATTTTAGCAGAGCTTTTGGCAATCATCAAAAAATCCATATCGGGACGAGCCACAATGGGGACTTTCAAAACCTTAGATCTGAAAAATAAGGTGGAAGAATCTGAAATATCAATTAAATTTGTGACACATTCGATTCTCAAGACATTTTTGCTACATCGGTTTCAATTTGATTATTCATCAACGCAAAATACCCAGTTTCGCGAATTTACCTCGTTTTCAACTAAGCTATTTCTTGTCTGAGCGTGATTTCAGGCGTTGGGCGTTTCCATCCCGAAGTCTAGCTAAGATTAAACCAATACCGGGATCCACCACCGTCCTGGTATCAAAGTCGCATGGTGGCAAATTTCCCTCTGATCCCCAAGGGCTGCGACTGGCTGTCATGGTCGTGGACCTGGGGCAAACTTTGGTCACACTGTCCTCGGGATTCCAGGGAACCACAATGGCTTAACCAGTAAATCTCCGAAAAATGATGATTATGCTAGAGCCCGCACAACTAGTGAGGACGGACCGTTAAAGTACCAAGCGTGATTTCAACCACGGGAATTGATGACCTATCCGTCTCCATAATGTTTTCGCCTCAGTGATGATCTTATGGTGCCTGGATAATGCCGTCGTTTCCTTACTTTAAAGCAATGAACCTCTCCACTTTGTAATTGCTAGAATTACTTGTGGTGAATGCATTTGAATAGTCTGCCGCACCTGCTAACCGATTCTACAGGAATCCATGTTAAACTGATATTCAGTGTCCTGATGAGGAAAGAAAAATGAAGATTCTCAAGTCGTGGTTAGACTATTTAACTAATCTGATCACTTTCATGGATTGGTGCTGTTAGGCGATGAAATAGATTTGAGAATTTTTGGGTTCTCAGTGAGAATCGGCCGCCTGAACGTTCAAGTGTCGTTGTAGTTCCCAGTAAATCCCAAAGATTCTCACTGGTGTTCAGTGTTTCGTTCAGGCGTTTGAATGCTCACTGCTTTTTGGAAAGCTATTAACGGTGATATTGATGCGGTGATATTTGCGCATTTGCTAAATCGTCAGGCCGAGCTGATTGTCTTGCTATGGCCTGCTCTTCGGCTGTCGGTTGGGCTCATAATGATCAGCTTGGATGGAATGAAAGGACAGCTTCACAGACGGCTAAAATCGAGCGGAGTGTATGAAGATAACAGAAACCCCTCATTTCGAAAGACTATTGTTTTGTTTCGCTTCATGGTCCACCACCATTCTGATTTTTTTAAGAGTCGAAAATCGAAGAATCCTTTAGGGACCGGTCAAAATAAATTGCCACGTGGGAAATAGTAAATGTACAAATGAAACCTTAAGACACGTAAAGATTTTGCTTTAGATGGGAGACTATCGCTAAAATATAGAAGACTCATGAGTGTCTAAAAAGAAAAGAGCTCGTTTTGAGGAGTATTTAATTCAAATGTGTGCATTTAGCTCGCTTGTACTCTTTTCTAAGTTGACCACCGCGGATGTCGAACCCACCGTCAGCCATTTTTCCTGTCCATTTTTCGCTTACTCTAACCACTGCTTTTTCCCAAGTTTTTCTTTGAACTGTAATTCTTGCTCCGATTATTTTCTTTGCTCGTTTAACATGTAGGTTTCTACGACGGACCTTTGGACGATTCGTTCAATATTCCCCTATATTTGATGACCATAGATGTAATTTTGTTTCGTTCATTTTTTCGACATTTGTTGAGTACTGTAGGCGTATTCGTTTTTTCTTTTTTCCACTGTTTGTTAATTTCATAGGAACTGGTAGTTGTTCCACGTTATTGAGACGACAGATAATGTATTGTTATTTCGTTAGGTTGTTCAATTGTCAAGCGTTTTCCAGTACTCGAAAAGTGTCTGACTTTCACTGCACAGCGTTCTATGCCAAGTTCTAACATTACGGCGTGAAGTTATTCGGAAAGATTTTACCATAATGCTAAGTTTTTATTTGCTGCCTACTGTAGAGACAGACAGACGAAACGAAGGACCCACATGGTGTGGTGGTGAACGCGTTCGCTTCCGGAAACGTTAATAGCGCGTTCGTTACCCACCGCAGACATCTGCGGTCTGGAGTTTTGCAAATATCTCAGCATCATTGTGGTCTCATCATAATTATAGTGATAACTCGTCCAGGATTTTTTAAGTGATTAACGGTCTTCCACGAAGATCGTAGTATACACACACCATCAACGTGAGCATGCCTGTAAGACTGCCTTTTAGTGCGGTTTGTAGATGTGGTTTTCCACCACTAATCAGCAGAATAGCTTCTTTGGAAAAGAATTCTCAAATGCTGATCCACTCCGTATATGTTAAAGGTAAAAATCCTTGAAAACATTTGATGATCTCTTCTTTTTAAATCGACGTACTGTCGACTTGAGTCTCAAGATCGTCCTGATATTCTTATGCATTAAGCCAGCATGGGACTAAAGCGCTTTTCATCTCTCCCACAAGGAAAAGTTCTGTAAAGGATAAAGGATAAACCGTTCGGCATGGGCCATCCCGTGAGAGTTGCACCATGCATCTGAACTCATAAGCATCGTTAGGAGTGATTGAATGCTTTATCTGGCCTATACATTCATTGATGCTATACTCGCAAGTAAGTCTGACAACAATTTGTCGACTAGGGTTGGTGAGTTTGGAGCAGGGAACGAACCACTAACCACGCCTGTAAGACACCTTTCACCATTGTGCTGCATGCGTCGACGAAAAAAAGTCTTGGACCCAATTTTGTTTCAAAAAAAGTGAAACGCTTCTTGGACACTTGAATGCTTGGGCAGACCGTTTCACGAGTTGTGAGGAATCTTGCATATTTTCTATCTGTTTCTTTCCCACGCATTGGTTGTCCATGGTGGTGGTTCAATTTGCTCGTGGTGCCGGGTGCGAGTCTTATACTGTGATCTGTAAAACATTGCAGCTGCGAGCACAGCTGATTGACTTTAGTTACGAGCACGTCCGCTCAACGTTTAGGTGGTCGTCCTAGGGAATGCCTGCACCTTCATGGAATCCACACTGCGTTTCTTTTTGTCAATTTGTCGTCTGTTCTCTTCATTATACGACCGGTCCATCTGTGTTTCGCTATCGGCACGAGTTCTCCAGGGTTTCAACGATGGGATGGATTTTGAAGATCAGTACCTCGCAACCCGACTACTCGTTGAGAGTGCCAGTTAAATTGAAGCAGTCATCGTTCAGAATCTCTATTGGTAATTCGCAGATTTCTTGACGTGGTTGAAGAATCATGTCATGTTTCCTGTGCACAATAAAGCACTGGAAGGCCTGTTGAATTGAAAAGTGGAGCGTGGAGCTTTGGGCCCGTTAGTTGGTCGGAGGCCTCTTTGAGAAGCCCGAATGCGGCCCAAGCTGCTCACCTTCTGCCTAATTCCTCCTTCATGTTCCTTTCCATATTCATTAATCGATAAGGTATGCGTACGAAGTGGTCTCTGCAATAGGCCATCCAGTTCGAACTGTTCGCCTTCACACCACGGGCTTTCCATGAATTGGGTCTTATTCCGAGTTATGCGTTGTCCGACTTTTTTTTTCCGCTTCGTTGAGCTTATTGATCACCCTCTCTGTACTTCTTGCGAAGGTGACGATGTCATCGTCAAAAGCAAAGCGAAGATTTGGTAAGAACTTTCCATCAATGCTTAGGCCTTTCTCGTCCTAATCGAGTGACTCTGTTATCCACTTCAATAAGGTAGGAAAAAGCTTTGGTGTTGTGGTGTCGCCCTGCCAAACCCCTTTTCCTATGGTAAGTGGTCGATTGAAAACCTGCATTTTTGTGGTACAGTTCCAAGTTTCTGTCGGGTAGAGTTCTGTCAGGT